GAGATTGTTTACATACTGTGGTATAAGGATGTGCGAAGATGTTGATTATTGCCGTCTTGGCGAAATCGAAGAGACGATGGTGACTCTGCTCCGATTTTGAACCCGAGACGCCGCTCATTCTTTTCTTCTCCGGCCAGAATTTTTGAAAATTACATTTTTGACAATTGATTTATACTTTTTTTCTTTTCTTGTCCTATTAATATATACATTTGTGCATTATGTATGACATTTTATAAAATACGAATTACAACCCAATTCTCAACACATTAGACTACTACGGATGTTCAACTACATCTGAATTTTATTTTTGGTCGTGTTGTTTTAAATTTCAATTCCGCATTATTCAATATTATACAGAATTTGGACTTCAAAATCCTTAAGTTTTGGATATAAAATCTGCAATCTCTTGATTTTAGAAATGAAAATAACCTCATTTGTACTGTTGTATTATTGACAGCTGAAATTATTGAATTTTTTTTTCAGAGGACTGGGCAAACAAAAATACCTCTGGTAGTTTACCAAATCTATAGGAAGAATTGTAAACCAAAACCAATTTTTTGTGGTAAGAACCAAATGGAAAAAAAAAATGTAACATGTGATCAGAGCTTATCATGTAGACCCGCAGACCTGGTTCTGGATTGGTGCACGTGAGTCCAAAGTTTATTCTGTAGTAATTCCCAGATTCATTTGATTAACAGTTGAACCTTTCTCACAGAAGCAGTCTTCGAACATCTTCGAAGTTTGAACGCAATTCAGACAGAAACGAAGCTGAGACAAAATCCGGTTTCATAGATGCAATGAGTAACAAATGAGAAACACATTGAATATGATGGAGACAGAAACTACTGGATGTTGCATTACCTCCAACTTGTCCATCAAAGATCCGATGATCCGCGGATAGCGTTACATTCATTTTCGTTACAACCGAAGGCTTCTCAATTCCTGCAACAATGACAGAAACTTGTCATTACCTCATCACGGATATCAACCTAAGTTTGAAAACCCAAAAGGGTGTTACTGTCTCACCATCTATTCCAAGAATTGCCTCAACCACTTTATTTCCTCTACCAACTGCTAGAATTCCAGCCTGCAAGACAATTGACGGTCATGGAGTTTATTATCCAAAAACAGATCTGCATCTCTATGACTACACTAAATCTTCCACGACAAAAGTCAGGAAACAGAAAACTTGCTCTTCCATCTGTAATTAAGGGTGCATCGTTAAGGCTATGATTACCTGGGGCGGGTTAATGATTGCGCAGAATTGGTCCACGGGATACATTCCGAGATTCGAAATGCTGAGAAAACGATAAAGAATGGGTTTCTCAGTAAGTAGGGAAACTTTCACATAATTCCAGACGATGCGTAAGAAGTTCAAATGGTGAATACCTGAATGTCCCTCCTTGAAACTCATGAGGAGCAAGCTTTCCAGATCGCGCCTTTTGTGCCAGCTCCTTAACCTGCTCGCAAATCAATTAGGAAATCAATTTTATCACTACTGATAAGCTGCACATGACATATGGTAAGAACTGATCAAACAGGTGTACTCTGTAGCCTGGCATGTTCGTTAAACTTCAGGGAAATTTAAACTACCTCGGAGGAAATAGCAGAAATAGATTTCTGGTCTGCATTCCTGATAATTGGAGTCATTAAGCCCTGCAAAACATGCCAAGATGATGAGGAATAAACTATTCAAGTTATTAGAAAAGCC